TTAACTGCTTCCTCTGACCGGGACACTCTTCTCTTAAATCTGCCCAAGACTGGCTTCCTCTCAGCCTTCAGATGTCTTCTGAAATAGCCTTCCTAGCCTACCCGTTTTGCTGTCTTCCACTGCAAGACTAACTAGTTGTTTCCTTCTCAGCCCTTTTCACAATTTGCAACTATTTACTATTACATGTTCGTTTCCTGTCTCTGTATTAGCACATAAGCTCCTCGGAGGCAGTGACCATACCTGCACTGTCACCATTATTACTGTCCCTTCAGTTCCTGGCAGAATGCCTGGCATATTGGGGGAAAGAGGAGTTGTAATGAATGAATGAACAAATGAATGTAAAAAATCATGTCTGATTCTTAGGCTCCACAAGTAGATGAAGAAGTCATTTTTCTCTGAAGCCCCATGGAACTTTGTTTTCTGCTACTCTAGTAGTATTTTTGTAGACTGCTTTGTATTACAGTTATTTGTGTGTGGATTTGTGGTCAACCAAGCTAGACTTCTTCTTAATCATCTTTGTCTTCACCATGGCACCACATTAAGTTAAAAAAAAAAAAACAATCAAAGAAAGGAGGATCAGGAGTAAGAAAAGAAGGAAGAGAGAGAAAACAAAGGAGATGGGAAAAGGGGAAGGAAATCAGGAAATCTTAGGAGCTAAGAAAGGAAGGAGTGACTCCATAGGGAACATGAATATCAGAAAATTCCTTTATAATTAGTTAATAACAGACTAATAAGGTAACATCTCCTAACTATAAATTTTTGGCTAACATTTCTGTATTTCTCCTTATCCTTTTTTCCATCTTCTTTCCATTTCACCTGAACATCCTCCCCATACCCTTGTGCTGCTTTTACTTTGGGGTCCTCCAGATCAACAAGTGACTACTATTCTTCACTTCTCTTGGGCTCAGTTAGTCTATTACATGTACAATTAAGCAGACTGACCTTGAAAACCAGCAAGGGTAGCTGCCTCTCCTCAGACACGGACAGGTATAACCAACAAGGCAGTCCAGCTCCAGGTCCTTTTATTTTGAAAAGAGTATACTATCAAAAATTTCCATTCCTGGAAATCAAGTGAAGAGCCTTTGTTGTTCTCGTGTTTTCCTTTGGCCACGTCTGTCTGTCGTTTGGAGTTGAGCTGTATGTTTTCCTTTATTTCCTGTTGCTTGTTTTTCTGGGATCAGGGTGCTTGTGAATGAATCACACCAGAAGGATTTTTTTTTTCAGTCAGTTCATAAAAGATACTGCTGTAGTTTAACAAGTTCCTTTCTTGGCTATAGCAAAAGAGGTGGGAATAAAGGGAGCAGTGGGGCAAAGGAAATGAAGAAAGAACGAGATGGGGAAAAGGCGCTCAGCAGGCAAAGTGCAAGCTTTGGAAACAGAAATCATTTCAAAATAGCCAAACAGCATTCTCTGGTGACTAAAATGAAAGATGAAGAGCTTCAAAGAGCAAAATAATGGAATTAGTTTTTCATCCAAAGAACCCAACAGGAATTTTTTTCCTTTATCAAGTACTTAAGCAAAGAGAGATAGAAGAAATTTGTAAATTTTCAGTAAGGCTAGGTGAAGGTTTTATTATTATTCATTCATCTATATAACTCTTTTCAACAATAAAAATTTTATTATAATTGGTAACAGACTTTTTCTCTTGTGTCATCTCCCCCACTCCCTCCTAGGCAGGACTATACCAACAGTTATTATTTCTGTGTATTTTTCCATGCTGGTTACATCGTGTGCAATAAAAGTAAACATATTTATAACATAGCATGTTGAGTAATAAAACACGCTTCTCCATTTTGCTGGTCCTCAAAATTTTTAAAGTAATTAATACTCTACACTCCCACAAAATTAAATGCCTTGGTATTTCAAATTCTTAGTAGAATATTTCTTAGCTTTGAATTCCTAAGAATCTGTAAGGATAGCTCAGAAATCAGGTACTGCAAAAGCAAAACAAATAATGGCTAGAAAATGATTATAAAAACTCAGTTGATTTCATAAGAGTTAACTGTGAACAGTCCAAGCCTCAAGGGTTTATTACTTTTCTTTCTTATAAGAAAGATGAGATACTTTGAACTGAACTGTGTACCCATAGGATCTTAATGAAGTCTTTGCAAAAAAGTGTTATAAAGTGGTATCAGTTAAAAATCTATGAAATCTAAAATTAATAAGATATTCATTGAAATAAAACTAATTACAAACCAAACTATTTGAATACCAAAGGTAAAACCTTCCCCTGCATCTAAAACTCTGAAACACTGAGGTGATCTTTATTTTATTCAAAGCTGCCATGAACCACAAAGAACTACAAAAATTTTACTGAAAGAAATGAATCAAATTTTAAGTTACATTTCTTAGTAGTACCCTATGAGAAATATTTAGTCAATAATTTGGAGACTTGTGTTTATTTCCTTAAAAATTGTGGAGCTTCTAAACAAACCCACAAATTACCTTTGAAAAATAATATAATAGGAATTGCAAGGGGGGGAAATCTTGCCTTTAGAGCTAAACATATGTTCTGATCAATTTTTAGAACCAGAATCTAGATTCTAATCTCAAACATTTGGACTGTTTGCCCCCATGGTAGGAAGTGGCTTTCGATCTGGATTTGGTAATGTACTTTCTGGAGCAAATCCAACCATGGTAAAAATAGAAGCAATGAGGATTAACTGATACACTTAATTCCTTAGCAAAAACAAATGTAGGGTGTGAACACACATTACTAATCTCTAATAATAGGAGCAATGTGCCATATTATTTGCTCAGGCCCAACAGCTGACCCTATGGGCTCTCCCTCGATTACATACTCTGAATCTAACCACTCTTTACTATCTGCACCACTTCTGCACCTGTCCAAATCGCCATTATTCTTTACTTAGACAAATGTCAATGCCTCTTCACTTCACTGGCCTCCCGGCTCCCTACTTGACCCTCTACACTCCCACTTTTCCACTCCAAAGCCTGAGCACTCTTTCAAAACTGTCTACTAGAACATGACACTCCCTGCACATTTTCTCCTCCCTTCCCTTCCTACTCCTTCCTATCCTTCTCCTGCAGAAATAGACAGACTGGATGAACAACATTCTATTGTTGTTTTCTCCTTCTTAAGCTCTCATGAGAAAAGGGCTAAGAAAAGTGGTCCCCCAAATCAGCACATTTTTAGCAGTGATATCCTATTACTTTCAAAATTTGGAACAGAAAAACTGCAAATCATTAGCACCTCACTTACCCAGAAACCACATTTCTGTTGAGTCCAACTTTCTAGAACACTGCTGAGAAGAACAAGAGTGGGGGCAAATGGAAAAGGAGACTCAGATATACAAAGTCCCCACATTGAAGTCCTCTTGTATTTTAGACAAACCTAATAAACTCAGTCGTCTACTTCCCTACATATAACCACAGGGAATATATTGGTGGGGACTAGGAACGCTTGGGGCAGGCATGTGGGCAGCATCAGAAAGTGAACACTGATAACCTACTGGAGAGAAGACAGCAAAACCGAAACACAGGCACGAGAATTCAAAAAATACGATAGTCTTCAGTGTAATGGAAAAACTCCACCTGGAGCAAACTCTAACCACAGCATTGTATTACAGCATGGTATTTCCAAAATGATCCTGAAATAATAGGAAGACATTAGATGATATTCCAAATATTTTATTAAGAGGATGGGGAAATATATAACATGTAGCAAATTCTGCAACAAATGGTTGGATAGTGATGATTAAAAGCATATAATTCACTCATCCCTTGGATGAAAATTTATTTCTTCCATGACAATGGTAATAAAGTAAACAAATGTACTGACTGGCAAAGAAATTAAACTTGTTTAAATTACTTGTCAGTGATGTGTTCAACCTCCAGGGGGCGCTTAAGGCTTCCCCCATGCAGGTGTGCGGAGGGGAGGGAGGAAGCACACCAGTATGGATGAAGCAAGGAGGCTATCTGTCCTCACTGCTCGTAAGTTTCCTGGATATCTGGCAAACCAGGAGAGAAAGGTTTTATGCCCATATGGCATGTTCTCATCGGCCTTTTCCCATTGTACCCTTTTCATCTTTGGATTGCTCCTCCTTCCTCTACTCCTATACACAAAGGTTGCCTATTTGGGGGAAGACTTTGCCTTTCCTCATTCAAAAAATATTTACGGAGCATCTGCTACATATCATGCCCTGTTCTAGATGCTAAGGATACAGCAATAAACAGGAAAGTCCCCGGAACAAGCAGCTTACGCCAACTCTACCCTAGGCCTTCGCTGCCATCGGGGTACAGGATGAAGCTGGGACACAGAAGAAGGATACTCCAAACTGGAAGGAGATGAAAGCCTGCACTGAGGAGATGAGGGACTCCTCTGACGTGTGGCTTCATAAGCCCACCACTCCTTTGTGAGACATAAGACAACACTCAGGAGCTGTATCCATTTTACATACAGTCTTCTTCCTAACTGGTTGGAGTATATCCTTTATCCAAGATAAGTAAAAGTCACAGCCCTTTCTACAAGTATGTGTCCAGATGCCTCATGTCTGCTAACCCACTAATCCACAGGGCTCTTGGGCTCTCACAGCCTGAACACACAGTGTTCACTTGACCAGTCTATATCTCCTCAGGACTTAACAGATGTGATCTCTGTAGTTGGCAAAATAAGATATCTATATTCCTCAGTGATGACTATGACAGCCTGAAATCCTTGCCTTTAAGATGAACATGGCTGACATCCTTAGCAAGCCTAAACAGGAAGTGGACCCAAAGCGTCTGCACCTTATAGGTGAGTAGAGGGTCACCATCCCCAGTCCTCAGTGCTGGCTGTACTTGGAACGCTACTTGAAAACCTCAGCAGAAGCCCGGCTTTGCTCTCCTCTGGAGTCTGGGGGGAAGGACCCCGGAAAACAGTCACTGTTTCATGGCCGGCACTTGGCAAGTAGAGAGGCCACCCAGTGTTCCTCAAACACACTGCGGCAGTTACCTGTCTGCCTCTCGGCCTCCACCCTCAGAAGGTAAAGCTCTCCTACCTTCTGCTTCTTCACTGCCTTCTTCGGAGTCAGGTGGCTGTGTTCTGTGTATGGCTGTCAGGTGCTCAGAAGCTGTGGCTTTTTGGATAGACCTTCTGGGTTTAATCTGTACCAGATTACCAGTAACTGTAGTTTTTATGCAAACACAAAGATATTCCATTATCAGTGGAAACTGAGAAAAGCAACTAGATATGGCTATACATAAAAAAACAAAAACAAACAAAAAACCTTACTGTTAAATTGTAGGTGAAAGAATCTAAGTTTTTCACTTTAAAATATTAATCCTTAAAAAATGATTTGTTCAAAACATATTAGTCCTTTTGTGAGAGCCAGCCTGCACAATGACCCAGAAATCCCTGCTCCTCAGAGTCACACCCCCGCGCAGCCCTCCCACCCTACCCCACCCCTTCCTACCCCACCCAAAGTGACCTGTATAACCCAAAGGATATTACTGAAATGACACAGGATGGTGACTTCCAAGGCTGAGCTGTAAAAGACATTCTGGTCTCTGCCCTGAGCTCTAGGTTTGCTCTGGGGTACGCAGGCCTCCATGGGGTGAGGACATAGAAGCTCACAGTGGAGCCCAAATGGGAAGCAAGGCAGACCTGCTAACAACCAGCACCACGTGAGGGGTTGTGTCAGTCTCAGCCCATTGATAGTGAGCTGTGAGCTAGGAATGCCTGAGCTGTCACCTGGCCCATATCCTTTGCTGCGAGCTCTGACATTTCCCTTTTGCTTAATGTGAATAAAATCCTGATTCAGTTGCCCATAATGATAACAACTATACTTCTCTCCCTAAATAATCATCTAATTAAAAAGCCAAAACAGAGGCTGGATCTGAGGGTCAGATGTCAAATTTATCCTCTCAAAGTTCCTTTCCACATTACACTTACCTCCCTTTAGCAGGGTCTGTGCTGAACCCTGACTTCAGGTCCTGAAGTGGCCCTGATTAGATGACAGTCTGCTTAAGGACATAAACATGACATCTTCATCTTTGTGTTCATCACAAAAGCCCTGCAGATCTTGTTGTTTATTCATTCATATAACAAAACTTTACTGACTACCTAACATACCAGGAGCTGTGTTAGGTTTGTCATGTTGACCCAAGTTCTCTAAAGGAAATCAGTGTGGCCAAGAGGGAATGCCCCAAAGGTTATGAAAAAAATAGATGAACACGAAAAATTTAAAACCAATGGAGGAAAAGAGAAAGGACTGAAAGAGAAAGCATGTCAATGCTAGCAGCAAAGGATGGGTATGTTGGAAGATAGACAAAATCCATAGTAGGAAGCAAAATATAGGTAAGAGGAGAATTCTTCAATATTACAGAAGTCACTGCTCATGCATTCTCTCTCACCAAAAGGCTAAATTAATTACAACAGTTAACTGGATTTGAAGAGAAAAATCTAAAAAATAAAGAAGGACAAGTGACTTAAAATCACAGTATTTATATTTGAGTAAAAACAAAGGAAACATGAAATACTACTAACAGGGCCTAGCACCCTGCCAATTTTTTAATACTTGCATGACACCCACTTGAGAGGCAAAGTGGACATTATGGAAACCATGTCTTCCCTCTGCTTAAAAACTTTCTGGGGCTTCTTGTTCTTTGAATGAAATCCATACTCCTGTCAAGGCTCAGCAAGCCTGTCAAGGCTCCAGCCTGCCTTTCCCTCTAACCCCTGGTCTTCTCCCCTTTGCTCACAAATCTCCAACAACATGGCTTCTGACAGATCCTAGGACACAGCAAGCTCTTCCCCATCTTAGGTCCTTTGGACTTGCTGGCCCTCCTGGTGCAGCTAACCCCTATCCATCCCCTGGCTCTCAGCTTCAATGTCACCTCCTCAGACAGACCCTCCCCGACTTCACCATCTCATGGAACCCTTACCCACCCACCTGCATCTTACTGTTTTCTAACTAGTACCTTCACCTGTTTCTATGACAATAGGAATAGGAATCTTGTCTATGCCATTAACCATTATAGCCCCAAACAGTGTCTGGCATACACTAAGCACCTAATATTATTGAAAAAATCCATGTAATCAATATGAAGAGCTACAGCATCACACACAGGACCCATGTCAAAGCTCTAGAATAGCTGTGCAACTTCTAGTGGCTTCTTGGAAGTCTTACTGCTTCTCCTGTTAGGCCCTGGCCCACAAGGCAATGATCTGCAAAGCTCATGGCTGCAAAGAGCTTCAGATAATACCCAAAGATATCTGTTTCCAGCCTAACTCCCTGAAGAGCCTGCAGAGTCTTCCTTCCAGGAACCTCCAAGTCCAAGAGTTTACCGAGCCAAGATCAGGCTCTCAAGAGACACTGGATGCCTTCGTCAGGCTCTAAATGCTCTCACACTTTGGGGCCTTCATTCCTTTGCAGACTACTTCTCCATCACAGCTGTCATACTCGTGACCTGAAAAGCTTCTTCCCTCCCTGCTTACAGATACACTGCATCTCCACCCAGGTTCTGGCTCCCTGTTTCTCAGCCAATGCTCAGGGAGAGAAAGATTATTCCAAGGTAATCAGAGGAGACAAAGCAGAAGGATACTACCATTTACTGAATACCCATTCTGTGTGAGCTACTTTCACATAACATCACACTGACTTCAGAACCTAAAGTTTTCTCAACTACCCTAGGAAGCAAATACTATTTTTTGGTTTGGTGGGGTGGGGTGGGGGGGCAGTTCTTCCCATTTTATGAGTCGAGCAAACCACCTAAGGTCACACAGCTAGAGGGTAGCAGAGGCAAGCTTTAGACCTAGGTTTAACTATTGTTAAAACCTATGCTACTTCTGGCAGCAACTGGTATCTTAACAGGCAGTTTTGGGGAAAGGGTGGGAGTAGAGGGGAGGGAAAATGCCTCCCTGACATCATTGCCAAGCTTGCCACCCTTACATTAAAAGGAAAGGAAAAGGGTAAGAGAAACAGGAATGGGGTGGCTAGAAAGAAATGAATAATAGAAGAAGGGAAAGACAGTCCCCTACCACTGTCCTGCTGCTCCCTGTCCTCCTGCTTCTTACCAGTCCCCTGCGTGGGCCTCGCACCTTCATCAGCACCTGCCTGACTAGAGCCCTGTTCCAGGCTGCAAGGAGGCCGTTTCTGTCGGTGACTCCAGACTGATGGAAACACTTCACTCTTGCTGCAGGGCTGCAATAGAGTGATGGCTTACTGGCTTCCCTAATTGGAATTCAACATATTTTTCCATAAAATAACATTACATTGTGGTTAGGATTTATAATACCAGTGGCTTTTTTATTTTAAAAAAAAAAGTATAATAGAGATCCACTAATCTGAAATCCAAAATGCTCTGAAAATCAGACGATTTTCTTAACTCATTCGGCAGTAAAACCTGACCTGACCTGAACTCATTTGGCCTGAATTCATTTGGTGAAAAACCTGACCTGAACTGACATGAGGCTATTTATAGTTTTTATTTATTTCACTGAGTGTGAATATTCATCAGTTTCACTGCACAAGTATTAATGTATTTGATTATAGGATACTGCTCCAGACCACACTGCAGTGCTATATAATAACTGTTATATGAACAATATTATCCTTCTTAGAAAAAAAAAATTTGGCCTCAAAGGTTTTGAATAGAATTGTAGACCTGTATTTATTCAGATTTAACCTCTTTGAATGTTGGGTTTGTAGCAAGTCTAAAATTAGGTCATAGACATATCATTTCTTTGGGAAAATATATTCTTAATTTCAAACAAGCAACTTAAAAAATGAATTTATGGGATACCATTTAGTACATGGGTTGGAAATACATTGAAGTATACAATAAAGAAAAATTCTTCAAGATAAAAGGTTTCTTTCTTGCAATAAAATGATCAGATTCTGCTTCCCATTCACATAGAATCTTCAGCTTCTAAAAAGCATGGTCAGTCTTCTTGGACCTCTCTGTGTGCTAAAGATAGTGCCAGAATATTAGAACATGGACCAAGGAAAAGAGAGGTAAGACTAGAAATCCTGTTAACTGGTTCCATTCTGTCAGTCTGTTCATTAATATTTCTACCAAAATTACGTCTTTATGACTTCTACTCAAAGCAAAGTTACTTTCTGGCAAAAGGAAAACATCAAATGCCCCTTTCAACACAAGATGAATTCAAAGGAAAATCCCAATCTGCTTATTATAATTATCGTGATGAATCTTATAGCTGATTATTTTCCTCCCATTTTGTTTTGGCCACTAGAAAAACCAGAGCAAAATTTATAGCCTAGTTCTAGCACCTGTGTGGAGTTTTATATTATATGTTCTTTGCTCTTCTAACCACATCAGTCTTGTTATTTTTCTCCTGGCCTTATTTTCCTTTTGCCCAATTTGTTCTATTTATTTTATGTGGTGGTGGTGGTAGTGGTGGTGGTGGATGTGTATGAATGTGTAAAGTTCCTCAAAATCTTTTTGTAATAAGGTGGAGTACGGATAAATAAATAATGGTATACTTAACAATGTACTGGCATGGATCCATTTACTTTCAGCTTTAGTAGTAACAGAACTCTATTCTACTTGATTTATCATGCAAATACTGGGTCATAATTAAAACCTTCTATATCAAAATGCCCAAGACCATTACTCATTCCATGAAAACAATCATTAGTTAAAAAAGCAAAAGAAGCACCTTAGCCATGTTACTTTTTTCAAATATACACAGTCATACAAGATATATGGCTGAGATTTGATCACCACATTACCCCAAAGGCCGAGGAAGCATGAGTTTCAGGTCTCAGCATTCATGGCCTGTCCCTCTACCAATAACACCAGACCATCAGCTACTTCCCCATCAAACTACATCAGAGCCAGAGATTGTGAGATTCCTCACTTCTTGCACCTGGCCCCCTACTTGCTGGAGTTATTGGAAGACACTGGAGTTTCTAAAAGAAGACGGGGAAATCCTAAAGAGTATTCATAAAACTCCCCTAAGTGCCACTTTCTGTTCTACTGGTGCATTTAGCAATGCCTTTTATTTTCTTTTCATAGTTCCAAAACCCTAGAACTTTCCTATGTATAATCCATACTTCCGAACAGTTGTCTAGTTAAAATTTCTAAGGGAAAAAAATTAAATTTAAGTAACAAATAGCAATCAAGACTCACAAATAGTAAATTAGGATACATAATGTAAGCC